ATGATGGTGGTGGTGATGATGATGCTGATGATGATGCTGATGATGCTGCTGCTGCTGATGATGATGATGAGGAGGAGGAGGAGGAGGAGGAGGAGGAGGAGGACCAGGAGGAGCATGAGGAGGAGGAGGAGGAGGAGGAGGAGGAGGAGGAGGTCAGGAGGAGGAGGGCTGCAGCGCGGGCGCGGGCGCAGGTCTCAGGACTATCGAGGCGGGTTCCAGGCCTCCCAGATGGGGTTGGAGTAGATGGGATAGGAGGATCTCGCCGCATCGCCGATGCATCGGAGGTGCGGCTCGGTGTGGAGCCCGATTTGCTTCGTGTCGACGTCGGCGATGCATCGCCGACGTCGCCGATGCTTCGCTGGTGCATCGCCGATGCATCGCTGATGCATCGCCGATGTATCGCCGATGCATCGCCGATGCAGCGCGATCCTCCGACCCCATTTACTCGGACACCATCTATGAGGCCTTTACGGGCACATATCCTCGAAAATAAAAAAGCCCTGACCAAAATAGCGCAGGGAAGCCGTGCCCTCACTGAGGTCCCCGTCTCTGCATCAGGGACAATCGTTCTGGGCGGTTCGAGAGAAGACCCCCTATCCCTGATGTTTTTGGCCCTCTTAGCTTAGGTTTCCTCCTAAAAGGGTTAGGGGTCCTTCTTTGGTTGATCATACAGAGACACTGGTGGATCAGCCACGCGCAGAGGGGGGCCCTCCCTCTACCCCCTTGTGCGCGCCGCCAAGTGCAAGAAGAAAACGTGACACGAACATAATTGTTCAGCGCTCCGCGCGGATTTCTTGAATCCGTGCTGGGCCCCCCCTGGCGTCGCCTCCGGCACCGCCCCTGGTGCGCTCTGCGCGCCAGGGAGGGGGGTCTTGCACAGATCCAACAAATCCGCGCGGAGCGTCAAAAGTTGTTGATGCCGTTGGCTCCTTATCAGTGTGTACAACGTTCAACAGCAGTTCTTAGTTCTTGTTCCTTATGAACAGGGTTCGTTGTCGGCGTCGCCGCGGTCCTGCCCAACAGCGGCCGCTGATTGTTTGAACAATATTTGTTGTTGGGTATCGTGCCCATTTTCCTCGTACCCATGTCGGGCCTCCAAACCAGACCTCCTGGGCAACGTTAGAGGGGATGGGCTCAGGGGGCGATGCATGGAACCCCAGTCGCCCATCGATCGGCGATATGGGCCCGAGAGTCCCGCTCCTCCCAGCTCCTTGCGGATTCATCCTCGGGGGCCCATCGCCGACCTATCGGAGATGTATCGCCGATTCCAGCTCGATGTTCCGCCCCTCCTCGGAGCCGGTCCCCCCTATCGTTGCCCCTCCCGACCGCTGCTCTCGGTACGATTGAACCGGGTAGCTACTCGCCCGTGCATCACCCAGCTTACTCAGTGCACACGCGCATGTGAACATCAACTTCGTGACACTGGACAGCACCCGAGGGCCGAGGACTGCAAGAGGCTGAACACGGTGTCGTGCTGCTGTGCGGCGGCGCAAGACTAGCGCATCGTGCTTCAGAAACTCCAGGGCGGCGGCCCCGGGAGGGGCAGAGGGTCCCGACGGTGCCTCCCGCCCATCTCGAGCAGGAGTCGCTGCCGGTGTCGCCGCGGGCGTGGCGACTGGAGGAGGAGGAGGAGGAGGAGGAGGAGGAGGAGGGGGAGGAGGAGGAGGAGGCGGAGGAGGAGGAGGAGGAGAGGAGGAGGAGAGGAGGAGGAGGAGGAGGAGGAGGAGGAGGAGGGGGAGGGGAGGAGGAGGAGGAGGAGGAGGAGGGGGAGGGGGAGAGGAGGAGAGGAGGAGGGGGAGGGGGAGGAGAGGGAGGAGGAGGAGGAGGAGGAGGAGGGGGAGGAGGAGGCGGCCGCGGTCGGCTCCGGGCCCCGGCTGCCGGGCGCCCTGGGCGCGCCCCGCGGCGTGCTTTGGGCGGCGGGGGGGGGCGCCAGAAGGCCGCGCTCTGCGGGCGGCCCCGCGGTGGGCCCCGGGGCCGTCGCAGGGCTGTTCGGCTGAGGGAGGGAGTCGGGGGCCCCCAAACGGGGTGGTGATCACACCGTGTGGTGAGTCGGTGGGGATTCGGGGTCACCGCACGGTTTTGGGACTCGGGTCGTTTTCCGAGGACGTCTCGGGCGATTGGGGCCTCCGAGGTCCCAAAACCGTGCGTTGACGGACCGTGCGGTGAGGTCTTGGGGGATTTCGAGGTCACCGCACGGTCTGTCACCGCACCGTTTCGGGACTCCAAAGGGAGGGCTCTTTCAGGAGGGGAAAAAACACACAGAGACAAAATTAATCGTCCCCTCCCAGGAACGCATGGGAAAATATGGGGAGTGGGGGGGAATACGAAAGCCCAGAAAATGTGGGGAAATAGGGGGGCTATTTTCATGTGTGTGTATTTATCTGTGTGTCCTGGGGCCCCTTCACTCTTGCCCGCCTCGGGTGTGGCTGTCGGCAGCTGCGCCCCGCCGAGGGTGCTCCTGGCGGCGGCGAGCGAGGGGCGGGGGAGTGAGGAGGAGGAGGCCTCCTCAGGAGGCGGCCGGGACTTCTCAGGAGCTCTCGCGCCTTCTGTGAGAAGGCGAAAACCCACCCCCACCCCCAGTCCCGACGTCCACCCCCGAGCCCGAGATCTGGGGGGTCGGGACTGGGGGTGGGGGTGGGTTTTCTTTATTCCTGGACCCCGAAAACCCACCCCCACCCCCAGTCCCGACCCCCCAGATCGAGGGTTCGGAAATGGGGTCGGGACTGGGGGTGGGGGTGGGTTTTCGCCTTCTCATTCTGGGATATTTTTTGGTGTCTTCGGGGAAGGCTCAGAAAGCTTCTCAGAAGGCCGGGGGACTTCCGAGTCTTCCGAGGTGGCCTGCCCCTTCTCTCATTTCACCCTTATTGGCGCGCCGCCGCCAAGCCGTGCAGGCCGCAGGGAGGTGGCCGGGGCAAGCCGGTGCTACAGGCCTCAGAGAGCGCGTGCAGATATGCAGAGTTTTTGGCCAGGTATTCGGCCTCGGGGGGCCGCCACGAAGGCCCAACACGGCCCGTCAGCAAAGGACCCGGGATGAGACGCAGGCACCCGGGGGGGAGGTCGGGACTTCGGACAGGGTTTGTTCATGCCTGTCGTTCGTTTTCCACGTGTCATGAGGGGGAAAAGACACACCGACATAATGCATCGTCGATCCCCCGGAAAATATGGGAAAACATGGGTCAGGAGCCTTGAGACGGGGGTCAATGCAACCGGGGGTCAGCCAGGGCGCCAGGTCCTGCAGGATCCTGCGAAGACCCCCTCTGGCTGACCCGGGTTGGCGAGCCGCTCGTGGCCGCGAGGCGGCCGCGCGTATTGGCTGACCTGGGTCTGCGAAGACCTGCGTTGCAGTTTTTTTTTTTCCTGCATTGCAGTTTTTGGTTTCCTGCTGACCCGGGTCTGGATTGACCCGGGTCAGGAGATCCCCGAATGGGAAGTGGGGGGGAAGACGAGCACCCAGAACATGCGGGAACATGTGGGGAGCCCTGTTGTCCGTGCCTATCTGTTTGTGCCCCGGCGGCCGCCCTCCAGAGTCCGAGTGCCCGAGCCCCCCCTGGGAGTGAGGCTGCGCCGGGTCGAGCGCGGAGTCGCCGCACTCGGCGGCGCGTCTCTCGGGGGGCGCTCGCGGCGGCGAGGCGGGACGGGTTGCTGCGGAGGGGCCGAGGCAGGAGGTCGAGGTCGGTTCGGGGAGTATGCCCTGTTGTTTTTCTTCGTGCCTGTTGGATGCTCGTGTGCATCCTTGAGAGGATGCCTCTGGACGTTCCGTGTGTGTTCGGCAGACGGAGGGTCTCGTGCTCTCGAGGAGTGTTCTTCTGGCTCAGGTGCGACTGTATTGGTGGTGCTGTGCTGGTGCTGCTGTTGCCGCGGGTGCGGGTGCTTCCCGCCTCCCTCCTCCTGCTCCTGCTGCGGTGGCCCAGTCTGGGGCCGCCCGCGTTCTGGATGAACGCGGCAAGCGGCGTCCCACTTGTAGAATGTCCACGACGGCGGCTCTGGAGGCGGGGTCTGTAAAAGCATGATGCTTTCGGTTCGATATTCGGTCAGAGCGCGCTTCCGGCCACGCTCCCAGTGTTCTTCAGGGGCGGCCTGTGTCTTGCAGGGCGGTGGGCCCGTTTATCTTGCGGCACAGTGTGCCGCACGTCGATGTCCCTGTGGCTTCATGGGCCCTTGGGGTGTGATTGCCAGCCTCAGTTCCGTAAGCTCGCCCAGTAATGTGTGACCCCGCTAACCAAGACACGGCGGGAACACCTCGATCGAACCGCCCGTGGCCTTGCGCCAATGTCCCCTCTGAAAACGAGAAGGCGGCCAGAGCATCCTACGTATCCTGAACTTGCTTTTCGGTATGTCGACCAGAAGACTGCTGGGTAGGAGCTGGTGTGCTGCGTGCAGTGCAATTCCCCGATCCGTGTGGATGAGCCAGACTTGGGCAGACCAGGGTCGAGTCGCTTTTGCGGCACATCTCATGATGTTTCTGACTGAATCGCTGAATCCTCTGACATCGCCCCCAGCCGACTCCGAGTGGGTTCCAACGGGGCCCAATCGCAGCGGCGGCAGGAAAGCCCAATGGAAATCTCCTCAGTCTTTCAGCGGTCCGGCTTGAGTCTGAAGGGTCTTCGGATTTTCACCCTTTTGTTTTTTTTTCTTTTTTGATTTTTTCGGATTCCACCTTGGTTGCATTGCCCAATCGGGCACGAGGCTCAAGCTGAACCGTCGCACTTGAAGCAGAACGTGGTGCCTGGACAACGCCAGTGGGGCGTCTGGGAATTTCTCCACCAATCCCATCTTTTTGATCCATGGTTGCCCCGTCCTCGAGTGGCACGCCATCAGGCCTCTGGTCAACCCAACTGGGCGAATGCGCCCCTAGATCCACATCGCTTCGGGTCCTTTTGTCCTCGACCTCGTTCCCCTCGGTACCCCTCCCTCTTGTCCTTCCCCCCTTTCCTGCTCGCCCGCCCCCTCTCCGCCTCCTCCTTCTTCTCCTCCGCCTCTTACCCCCCTCGTGGCCGTCC